ACCATGAAGAAGAACCCTCTTGAGGAGCCTTTCAAAACCATCACTTTACCCTACATTGCTGGGATCACAAAAAAGATCTCCAAAATCTTGAATAAACACAAGATCCAGGTCCGTTTCAACACATTACATAAAATCCGTGATCTGGTTCCGTCTGTAAAAGATGTGATTCCGGACATACAATACCCTGGTGTCTACAAACTAAGTTGCCTCTGTGGTAGTAGTTACATTGGAGAAACCAAACGCCATATCTCGGACCGCATTCGTGAACATAAAGCAGACCTTAAACACGGTAGGACCAACACCTCGGCCGTAGCAGATCATTGTTCTAATTCAGTAGGCTCACATGCCATTGACTTTTCCAAGACGGAGGTTCTTTGTAAGCCATCTGGCTTCCATGAGAGATTCGTTCATGAGGCTATCCACATATACAAACACAGAGACAATTTCAACCGAGAAGATGGATTCTATCTTAGCAATCATTGGAAAGATTTGATAAATCATTTCAGTTCTTGATTGATTGTTCACGCTTACAGTGGCTTTCAGACAGCATACATAAAAACAAATTTCGTCTCCCCCCTCCTCTTTTCAAAAAATAGATGGACTAGTCCTGGGCAAACTGCCAATCGTTGCGCGTGACGCAAACGTTATTTTTTAATATATATAAATAAATATGCCGTTTTCAAAATAAATTTATGCAAACCGACACACCTGATGATGAGCGTTTGAGTTATGGTCGAAACGTCGTGAGAATTTTTTATTGTTTTATATATATTTTGTTATTTTGTTGTTTCTCTTCAACGTGACTTTACCGAAAAAAACTAAGAATATGAATTACTGCAGTCACGAAAGCTTTAAATCAAAATTTAAGGGAGTACTTGTTTGGAATAAAAAAAAGACAAACTTTTGGATATTTTTCAATTATGCTCAGAACCCACCATTTTGGCAAGCGTGCATGTCAGTGGAAAATTAGGCATAACAAAATAAACCAGAGGGTAGCATGACCTATAAGTGCGCTCAAGATAATGAAACCTGTCCTGGAAATCCCCACGTTCGAATAGTGAATGTTGAGGACAGCCTGGCCCCCTTGCTACCTTGCCATATGTGCCATTGGTTCACTGAGACAAGCTGATATAACAGCATCTTCTTCACAAGAATGGGCACATCTGAGCTGCCACTAATGCATTCATCTGTCCGCGTGGCGATTTGCCTTGGGTCAGGCATTTCCTTTTTGGATAAAAAAAAATTCCGCTTCACCTTTCCATCTCAAATCGGGTTATCGGTCATGTGTTGCCACAGCCCCAGGGCAGTACCAGCAGTTTGGCAATAGCAGTTCTATCCACCCCCTGTTGAGAAACAGTGAACGGCAGCCAGCTGTGAGTTAATGGTGCTTATTAATGGCATCACCAATAGATTTCCTTCTTGAGCATCAATCCTGACAAATAGTCAATATGCTGGCCCATTTCAGAGATATACTGTAGGACAATTCTCGTGTTATGTACTGTATTACATATATACTGAGGCCTGCCAAATGCATGTGCAATTTCTATCACTGGCTCAGCACTTGTTAATGACCACAGTTCCATCGCCAGCCTTCTTCACACTGTGAAATTGTAGCTATACAGTAATTTTTGACTGCTGAGATTGAAACGTCTCACTTGTTACAAAAAGGCCGATGCCGCTGCATTTGGATGTTATTAAGTCAAATAGTTGTAATTGGTAATTTAGTTCAAAGTCTCAACCTGCGACAAGGGGAGTATTGATTCAGCAATTAAAATCGATTATTTTGCTCGTGATGTACAAACTGAATGGTGCGTGTAAGAAGCAATTATTGTAATACTCATGTAGCCGTATTTCATGGAGGCGATACATCCACGCTTATGTGCAAGGTTAATGGATTGTATGCTGATTATGTGCATTTCATGAGGAATTAAGTAATCACTGCCACCTTGTCCAGGGCCCCTTGAAAATGAGTTGTGAATCTGTATGGTGTATTGTGGTGATATACATATCATTACCGTTATGATTTCCCGACATGGAACAATGCATCCATATGCACTGTGACGTGTCTATAACCTATTATACCAGTGATAGCAGTAATGAGCAATACAGTATAAGTTACTATGGGCCAATATCGATCAGAAACACGGACACTGACACAAATGGGAAAAAGCTAAAGAGTGAATAAAGAAAATGGATAAGTGCATGCTTGTAACTACAATGAAAGACAAAGGAATACATTGATCGGAGAAACACAAATCAGAGACATCAGATTGACAATTATGAACAATAAATGGGCTTGGGCAGGACATCGCTAGGCGGGATGATGGCCTATGGATGAGCTTGTTATCGGAATGGCAGCCAAAGGAACCGACGCGTCCAGAACGATGACCATCGTGGATATCGAGCAGCTCATGTGTAGGAAGTGAATGGTGAAAGCACTAGACCATGAAGGATGGGGACAGCAATTGGGAGGCCTTCATCCAGCAGCGGATAGCAAATAGCTAATAATGAACAGTGCAACAATGAAATCAATTCGTGTGCTTAAAACACGTGAATGTAACTGTACGCATGAGATTTGATTATCTTTAATTCGTCATCATCATCAGCCATGATCACGCCGTCATCTAATCGTTTCGTGACGTAGCAATCCATCCAGCACAAGGACTCGTGTCATCTGTACATGTACCGTTCTTGTTATTGCTTTACTGGTGTAATTATTGCCCGTCATTTGACGGGTGTTTTGATTTCTTAAACGATCCAGTGTTTCTTGACTTTGTCGATTACGCCATCTCTGCTGTCTTTCTCTGTTTAATCGACGTCTTTTTTCGTCTGCAGAACTCTTATCATCATCTGAATGAAATCTAAACTACGGAATGTGATGTACCGAATGTAATTTACTCTTTCTAAGAATAATTTATTAGAAACCTGTAAATAGAGCATTATAATTGTAGGTCACCTTTATTCTAGCGTTATATAAGCCGTTTGAGTTACCGTTCTATTAGGAATAAAGTAAAATAAATGTTTCAATCAAAAATTGGTTTCCAAACGAAACATTTTCCTCACCTGAGAGTGAATAAAACACATATAAACACTTGGTTCTCGACGTATGCTTGTTGCAAATGTGCAATTGTTGTAGGAATTATTATAATTATAGGCTTACTGGAGTCTGTATTGATGTGAATACAAAACGATAAACTATGTATAAACCGGAAGGACAGGTCAGTGTCACTAAGTTTCCCAAATTGTCGATAAAAATGTGAGCAGAAGGTCGCTTTTATTAAAAATTAATTTCCACTCGGTTATAATAACTTACTGGATTCTGAATTGATGTGAATTTGGAAAAGTTACCATTTGTTATTGACCGGAAGGGAAGTGGTCGGTGTTCACTAATTTTGACTAATTTTCACTGTGAGCGCGACCAAAAGTTACCAAAGTGAAACCGTACTGACTGCAAATTAAACGTGATTCTGCTTATTTATTTAAATTTCTATTCGATGTCCAAAAAAGGTTAAATAAACTATTCACACGCACACACACATGAACCGAATAGATGAGGTATTATTATCCTGTAACGGCGTGCAAAACGAAAAGACAACATACTAAAACAAGGGTGCGCTTGGCTTTTATCAAAAACTGCGCCGGTATATTGTTTTGGAGGAAATTGATTATTCTTGTAACAAACTAATAATTGATAATAGAGTTTTTCCCCTTTTTGCTGGCAACAAAACTGAAACCTTTTACAAGGAATCATGTGTGCATTAACCACAATACTTGTGGTCATAATGCAAACAAAAAAACACACACTATGATAATACATGCATTGTCCTTGAAACTGATTAGTCCACACCAGGGACGGCTTTCTGGTCCCTGGTGTGGACCAGATATTATCAGAGTGTGTTTTTTGTTTTCATTTGGACCACAAGTATTGTGGTTAATGCACACATGATTCCTTGTAAAAAAAGGTTTCAGTTTTGTTGCCAGAAAAAAAGGGGAAAAAAACATATTATTATATTTTGGTACTGGCAAAGGAGGTCTTATGATGTAGAAACTAATCATTCGTTACAATTTTAATACGCCTTTCATGATTTATTTGTAATTGCATTAAATTCCACGTAGCCTACCCAGCGTTACACACAGCATACGGTGTCAGGCGTTAGGCACAGATCGCCGAAACTATATGTATATTGAAAAAAAATAAGACAGTACGTGTAAATGGGTTCCTGATAACCGCGAAAGGCTTCTGTTGTTGTGGAGTAACTCATGCAGCCAGCTATGGCTCTAGGATTTGGTGTTACATGTTATTTGTGTAGTTTATTGTAAAAATTCGGTCACAGTCCCTGTGATCGCTGTTACGTTGCAATTATGGCTTTATTTTTTGGTGATTTCGAAATGTTTTTTTGGTTTGGACATGTGTGTTTTACTGATGGCTTAAATCTAAGTTTTCTTGTGGTTGTTGTTGCTTGACTTGCATCCCACTGGGATTTTTTTTGCACACAGCGTTGGTGTACGGTGCTTTTTTTCAGGAATATTTTTGCTGTTTTTCATGGATTTTCTGTTTGCACACTCACATAGTCACTTTAAGATGTTTTCTTGTTGGTGTTTTTGTTTTTTTGTTTGTTTGTTGTGGTTGACAAATTGGATGTTATTGTCGAGCTAACTTGTTACTGCACGTCACTACTCCGTTAATAAAAAAAAAACCTGTTCGTCAAAAACACTGCCTTAAAATAAAAATATGTAATCGTTGACGTGGAAAAAGAGCTTCACAGCTCATCGGATTCCTGCAGTCTAAAGATCAAGATTCTGATTCTGACCCTCCCCAGCTGTGTGACGTCAATCGCCGCCCCCCCCCACCCCCCAATCTGTGTGACGTCAATCACCGCCCCACCGCCCGACAATCTGTGTGACGTCACTCGCCTCCCAACACACCTCCCTTCTCGGCCCGCCACTCAAACCTCGCCGCTCCCTCATTGGCCTCGCGCCGCGCACGTGACGCGCGTACCTCGCCCCCCCCCACCCTCGATTGGCTGACCTGTTCGACCCCCGGGCGACGCGTGGAGTTTGTGTCCCGTCAAGATGGCGGCCCCCACAGCGGGACGGCGCTGTCTGCTCGTGCTCGCGGCGCGGCGCGCAGTCTCTCTGCGTAAGCTCGGCGCTTCCCCTCCTCCTCCTCACTCATCATCGTCACCCTCCTCCTCCTCTGTGCACGTCTAAACACGCGGCGCTATAACCACGCACAGCCTTGTGTCGAGCTGCTTACACACCCGCCCGCCCGCTTGCCCGCCTACACGCTGTATTTTCCCATTGAGGCGTCTTCTTTCGCGAGTATGGCTGATGTAGTCGACGCCAAGCAACGACTTGACGATTTCACGGTCAGGCGGGCAAGACAGACAGCCGCGTCTGGAGCAGCGGAGTTGTATCGCTGTGATGGCTTCAAGGTGTTTTGTGTTGTAGGGCCCTTTGCGTCGTTACATGTTGCCACCTGTCCGTGTTAGACAGCGGCTATTACATTTCCAGATTTGAAGCTTTCGTGACTGCAAGGATCCATACTCTTTGGTTCTATTCGGTAAAGTCACGTAGGTAAAATTAAATAAAAAATTCACGACGTTTCGGCCACAACACAAGTGGCCTTCATCAGGTGTCCTCTGGACAGTCCAGTCCCTTCACCTGATGAAGGCCACTTGTGTTGTGGCCGAAACGTCGTGATTTTTGTTATTTTATTTTTACCTACGTGACTTTACCGAATAGAACCAAAGAGTAGAGCGGCTATTACAGTTTGGGCTGCTTGTGAATGTGCCGTCTTTGTGCAGATGGCACGGGTTTTGTTTTGTACCGAGATCTGGTATTGTGTTGAACTCGTATTACAGCGCATTGCACAGTTGCGACAGACCTAGGCTTGACTTGAGAAACGTATTTGGATTTGGTCTGGAAAAAAAAGTGTCAAGCATCGTTTTCCCGTACTGTACCACCCGAGTTTTAAGGTTTGGTTCATGGCAAAGCAGGACTTGAAAGTCCCCTTCCAATTCAAAGGGACGGAAGGCGACCGAGCACATCCACTGAAGGAGACTGAGCGGTGAAGTAGGGAGTTGATGTGCAGGTGCTAGGTCGATTATGGCAGCGGATGAGCGTGATAAAATTACGACGGTTAGGGGAAGACCTTCATCCAGCAGTGGATTTACGTTGGCTTGTGATGATCGTGCGCTCTACTATAGAGTTGTGCCGTCATTGATATGTACAGTATTAACATTACAGCAATGCAACGTTGATGGCACTCGACTGCAGTACGTACAGTGCGAAAGAAGTTAGGGGCCGTCCATAAATGACGTCACGCACCTGGGGGGGGGGGGGTCAGACAATTGTGACGATGTGTGACGAGGGGGGGGGGGGGTTTGAGAAATGTGACGTCACGTCAAAATGCGCAAATTTAAATTAATATAGAATTGTTATAACAACACTCCTACAACATCGGAGAGCAGCGCCACATTAACAACGCACTACAATGACAATGTCTAAGCAATTTGAAGCATGTTTTATTTTCAAAATGGAAATTATTATTTTTTTGGGGGGGGCAGAGCTTTGTGACGTCATATTCGAGGGGGGGTCTGACTTTTTGTGACGCCGTGTGACGAGGAGGGGGGGTGGGGGTCAAAAATCGTCCAAAATCGCGTGACGTCATTTATGGACGGCCCCTTAACACAAAATGACGCGTTCGACTAGAACTTTAAACGTATCACAAGAACTACAGACGCTACAATCTTGTAATGTACAACCATATAAAATGAGACTAGCTGTACAGCTACCCGAGAATAGCTCTCCGGTTTGTGTTTGCGTCACCACTTTAAATGTTTGCCCGCCGTGTTTGTATTCCACTCAGAACCACGTGTGATCGGGTGAGCTCGCGGTCATGACAGGTCTTCCGTCAGAGCCACTGTCAGTCAGCCTTTCCGTTCAGCTTGGTCTAAATTGTTGCGGTGTCGGTGCAAAACATGAATTTTTGCGCTGTTCAGTGACGGGCGCCATTCGAGGCTTCTCTTTGAGCCTTTAATCTCAAAAAGAGAAGCAAGCGTTGAATTTGCACCTCCACCACGTGGAGCTCGGTCTCCGCCTGTGAGGCGTAGATTCCTAGAGTTGAGATTCTTTGTGACGTTTCAATTCCAGAATCATCTTTTCCATTGTGGCAACTTTCAAGCAAAAATACGTATTGAAAGCACACAACCTCTGCATATCAGAATATTTATACCGGAGGATTCCAAAGAGCTGTGAAAGTCTCTTTCACAGATATCCAGTGTATATGCCAGAACCATCAGCAATTCGTGAAGTACATTTTGGTCCTCTGTCTTAGGTCACCATATAAAATAAATTTGAGCAAATGTAACCGAATGACAGTTAATGGTAGCGGTAAACATATATGGTCTTCGTTTGTCATTATGGCTCATGAGCAAAGTACTGTATACTGCAATGCAGTAATGTATACAGTACTGCAGTCAAATGCCCATTCCTGCAAAATCTACCTCTGGAAACCATATATGTGGAGGCACCACGATAACACGATGAGGCCCATTAGCTTGATTTTTTATTACATTACACGCTTTTATTTAACTCACTCTGTCGTATCCTCAACTCTGTCTTGTCGTATCGTCAAATCTTGTAACTCAATTTTAACCCACTTCCCAATGTGGTATCGACTGCAAACTTGGTATACGCATGTCATAATGATGACAATGCTATATTCTATCATTAAAAATTAAAAATATAAATATTTTCAAGCAATCTTTTTTCTATGTTATGTTTCGGCTTGGGTCTAATTGTCCACGCTCAACTCACGTTGGCTGTAAATCACCACAGTCTCTTACGTTGTGGAAAGCTTCGGGGCCACTTCCTGGAGTCGTGGAGTTCTTCCTGTACATTTCATTAAAGCGTGGATTAAAAAAAGTGTTTTTTTAATATTACTTTTATACGATTCTCGCAAATTTGGTAGCTCCAATAACTCCCAAGGTCGATGTGAACTGCTTTTTAAATATTAAAGGACTGCGCCATGTGTTTTCATGCTAGAGGTGAGGTTATTGCGTGCGACGTATTGGTAATTAATCATTGTTATTGCAACGATATGATTGAAAAACGTTGCAAGAATTCAATCAAATAATGTTGCAATGAAGACAATTTAATCTGCTCGCACCTTTATACAGTGCAATTTCTTGCTACAGCTGGATTGTGCAGAGACCATCTGCAGGTCAGGTACTTCTTGGCGTATTACGTTCACCTGAATACCTTAAATATACCCAATTGAAATACCCTACCACAGCCTGCCAGAATACTACGAGCAGCCGCTAATGGAAGTTACATTTTAGAGGTTGCGAAGTGTTACATCTCATTACCTGATTACATCAAAGCCACACTTGATTTTGTCATGTTTCAATTAAAATAATATATACTGTAAACTCATTTGGATTGCATATACAATATACATGACAGTTTTAATCTAATGTCCTTAACAAATATATACAATTCATTGACAAGTAAACGAAAGACATATACCATCATCATACCAATATTTCTTTATTGAAAATTGTTTCATTCCACTGCCGGTAGTACAAGACAAATATTTGTAAAAATCCTCTCGTACGTGCAGGTTTGTTTTTCGAGGAAGCATAACCTGATCTGTAGCGTGGGCAAAATAAATTTTAGTCGAGTAATTAGTAGGCGTATGGCTCAATTCCAGTCGTTTTCAAATCATGTTTCTACTATCGATACATGAAAATATATTTATTTTCATCATCACCATCGCCATTCTATTGATGTCTTGAAAATGTATCTCTTTTTTTTACTCAAGAACAAAAAGCAGATTTGAAGCTTTCGTGACTGCAAGGATTCACACTCTTTGGTTTTATTCGGTAAAGTCACGTAGGTACCTACGTGTAACAAAAAGCAGCACAATAACGAGTCCCTGTGTCCACGGTCGCCTTCCTGTGTATGTGGTCACAGTTGCCCCTTCCCTGCTTTTCTCAGGATCGTTCTCTCTCACGGGAAATCGGGAAGTCTACCTTCATGGCATATTAACAGTCTGGTTTTTTGGCAGTTGCCGAAAATGCAGCACTCGTGACAATGCATTTGCATGTAGTTCTCCCCTCTTCTGGTCTTGTGAGATATTATTTTTTCCATGATATGTCCTGGTTGTTTTGTACATCATAGGTGGGCGACCCTTTGTGGGATGGCGCTGAAGACTTTTCTGAGGATAGTTGTTCGTGAATTAAGGAAAATCTTCAGTGCCACAGGCTAAAAATTGCTTTTGGTGTTGCCCTGCAGCGCGGCGGACGCTCCTGTCAGCTGCCTACACGGACCCGGCACGATGGGAGGAGACTCGCAAGCCAGAGCCACAAAGCCTAGGTCTGGCTGCTCTCACAGCCCAATACACACAGCAGTAGAGGATGACTGTAGCAATAGAGCGACTGAGGACATTTTTCTTATTATCATGCTATTTTTTTTACCGAGGATGCCTCACTGCGTTTCATGACTTTTTCAGGAGGGTCCTGCTAAGTTTTCACGGTCGTGGGGTTATGGTTGATATGTTTATTCCAATTGAGTAATTTGCGAATAATGTTTTAAAATTTGGACCGTGATGCTGGCACACAATGGTCCACTCTTGCGATTGACGTCATGTGAGCTCAGACGTCAACTGTGAAGTGGATGATTGCGCCTAGTTTTTATTAACACAATAGCCAGGTTACAGCGAATAAACTGCTTTCTGCAACATCGTAATACATTTACATGGACATCAAATTCTGCATAATGGCATGGAACTTTTCTCAGTTATGAGAAGAGGTTTTCCCCTTTTTTCTGGAAACAAAACAGGTGTTGAGATAATAATAGGGGTTTCCCCTTTTTTCTGGCAACAAAACTGAAACCTTTTACAAGGAATCGTGTCTGCATTAACCACAATACTTGTGGTCAGAATGCAAAAAAAAACATACTCTGATAATATATGCATTGTCTTTGAAACTGATTGGTCCACACCAGAGACAGCTTTCTTTTGAGCCTCGTCTCAAAACGGTGTTAGACCAGAGGACGCCAAAAGACATACAGCACAAAGACAATGCACTATCAGTAATGAGAGCTTGGGGTGAGCAGCTACATCATGGGACCTCCCTTGCCAGTACCAAAATATGAGAATAGGTTTTCCTCTTTTTTCTGGCAACAAAACAGGTTACATATGTTAAAATATAAAAATATATGTTAAAACATATATGTTAAAACATATATAAAATATATGTTAAAACATCAAACTGAAACCTTTTATAAGGAATCATGTCTGCATTAACCACAATACTTTCTCAGTTACAACTTTATGGATTTATAATGCAGCAAAAGAGATGATTTTGTCGTATTACGATTTCTACACAGTTCAAAATATATCTGCACTATTGACCAACTTCAGGCATTAAATAAGTATTACTTTGTAGAATATTCCACGGAAGTTTTGGACATCAAAATCAATACTGAATTAGCTTGCATGTTGGTGCACTGGGCTGCCTGTACTAGATTTTGCCAAGAGGCACTGGTGATGGCCGTGCATAATTAATTTGCGCATACATGTTAAATATGCATGGGTCTCACAATTTATTCGGTGAGCCACAATAGCCACAGAAATCTGGTGCCGGAAGCTGGCCATGTGAAACCTGGGGATTAGTTCAACTCCTGATCACATTCATGCTTGTGCGTGAGTGAGTTTTATAATGTTTTGGCCACAGTAATTAATTTCTGTTGTGCAACTTCTCTTTGGCATCATTTCAGTGAAGCTGGCCAAGCTGATGGATGGACTCCATGACTCAAAGTTGCCTGTCAGCTCCCTAAGTATTGCAAGGGTACATTCTGCTACAGAAAGCTTTACACTACCAAGCACCACTTTGAATGTCCTCCTGTACAGGTTGTGTGACTTGTTTGCAATTTGCATTGCAGTTTGTTGACAACATTTCATCACGTGAGGAAGTGGATCAGGCGGAATACTACCTGTACAAGTACGAGCTGTTACCTTCACCAGAGTATACAGATGCAAATGTCACACACACAGTAGTTTTAAGCTGCTTCAGGATGTGTGGTGGTACTTGATGGGGAAAATTAGCACATGGCAACTTCATGACCTTAATTTTTTTAGATTTGATTTCAATTATTCATTTTTTTTCAAAAGGTATTCTCTACATATTACAGCTCTGAGTGGATCAGTTACACTTTGGTTCACACATTGCAAATCACTGTGAACCAACTGGCCATGCCCCATGGCTAATATTAATCGTGATTTATATCAGAATTGGTCCTGGGAACTCTTCCCAACCTGCACTAACCAGCATTGTGAATATGGTGAAAGAACCCCACGACAGACGCGGCAGCAGTCGATTGAAAAAGCGCTGTAAATTACTATTACAACTCAAAATGATGCATGTTTACAAACAGGCCCTGTTCACCTGAGCTTAGCAATCTATATTCTGTCATTCTCAATGCTAGAGGCTACAGTATTGCATTTTATTTGACGAAAAAAAATGGTCTGTCGAGAATTTGCGAGCAGCGGCGTGATGTTCCGCAGGTTTCGGCACAGCGAGAACTCTTTGTGTCTTCGGGAATGGACAATTCACAACTGGCTGCGCAAGTGCCTCCAGTACGGAGCCAAGGACAAGGCGCTGTACACGATTCAGAACAAGGTAGTAGCTTGTTTCACAGGCTCATGTTTCTTATCCTTGTACAATACATTTAGAATGTATAAAGAAACTCTGAAATGCATCGAGCGCATCTCAACACGTACAAAAATACACAATGCTCTATAACACAATGCTATACTGTATTATAATAATATACAGAGCGTTCTGTAACTGTGGTTACCAGTGGGCCAGAGTTGGCCCACGAAGGCTCTCGGAATTTTATGTCCAATTAATGACACTCCCAAGAGATATCACCCCCCCCCCCCAGAGACACAATGAGATATTGACACAAAAGAGATGTCGACAAAATATGGAGGTGAGAGACCTGGAGGCAAGAGATGAAGATTAGTGAGGTGAATGGGAGATAAACACAGAGAGTTGGGAGCTGGAGACAATAGTTAAACATGCACATCTGCAATCGCCTTGGTGTAACAAACCAATATAACTTAATATAATGCAACCTGTGGGCCTTGTAGACAAATGTGTTTCAGAACTATATTATCAAGGCCCTTGTCCATTTATTATTTTGTCACTGACTTGGACGTTTTTTGCAATTCAGAACAGTACCACATGCACTCCAGTACAAATGTTGCACTCACGATCAAAGTATGGACGGAGGAATACCAGCAGTAATGTTAGACTTGCCCAGTATATCATGAACCTGGGAATTTGCATGAACACATTTGTGTGGTAGATATCGGATGGGTGGTTGTTAAAAGATGATTACTTAGATGAAGCATGCAACATCATTCAAAGGAATGTGTTTTTATGTGATGGCCCAAATATAAAACGATTAATTGCAAACCCCAAAGTAATAATTTTCAGTCTGGCTTTCAAGATATAAATAATGAACATTTATTGTCCCATGGCAAGTTCAGGGCATTCATTGGCTGAGCATTAAACAATTTCGAGTTTGTTTTACCTAGTCTTTAATGTGCATGCTAATGTTGCTTGCAGTATAATTTGTATACAGCAGTGGCACAGCGTTTAGTGCATTACAGTGCACTGTTTAGTGCACTTTGCTTTAAACCCCTGCTACCTGGCCATGACTAAAGGCAGTGGTGAGTGATATCTGAATACGTCCTGTCCTGGTCAAATAACCCCCATGACTGGCATGGTGTGAGGAGGGCTTCATCCAACAGTGGATTGGCAAAGGGCTTTACATTATTATTAATTGCACTGTTTATTCTAGTGCTATGTATATATGCAATATTAATTAATATCAAAAGCTGAGAAATATCAACATTACAGAGTTGTCAACATCCAGATATTCTGTTGGCATCCTTTACAGGTGATTCTTACCAACCCTGCTGATATCGCTGTTTTAAACACACAGGTAGATTGTTTTTTTCTCTACACTAAGGGACACTCCCATACACAGCGCCTATTTACGTGAGTGCCAGCCCTTCACGAACAGCCGGCTAGATCAGCTTCAATGTGCACCGCTCGGCTGATGCTGCCTGGCTGCCACTTTTGAATGATTACTTTTGGTGTGGAACATTTAAGGTTATCTTTGTTTTCGTGCTTTTTTATAGTGTGGTCTCCTATTCCACATACAAGATGCATTAGTGGTTGCGTTGGTGTTCATATCTCTGTGTGCGTGAGAACAAGCATTAGTGTTAAAGCATTGTGAGCAGCGTGCATTCCGTAAATGGGCTCTGATATCGTGGTTTAGTGTGGCCTGGTAATAGCAGCCTCTCAACCAGGATTATATAACCAGAGTTTGTAGGGCAGTGCGTTTGTACAGCTTATGGACTCATTGATCCATTAGAGTTATGGTGCCTCGATTAAATGGTTCCCTTTTAGACCTGCATATTACCCCAAGGCAGTTTTAGCTTTTTTCACCTCCTGATGTTGGTACCCTCGTGATGGAACTTCAATAGTGGCCCCAATCGAAGCACAGGCGAGAACAGTGAAACATTGAATGTTGTATTGATGGAATCGGTCACTGCAAAGCAAAAACATGTACAAGGAAGGTCAGGGCTTTAATTAGATGATAAATTAATTATGCATATGGGTGTAACTTTCAGCCATGAAGGATTTAACCGTTATGCAATTTTTTTGTTAATGCCATGTGCTAGTGTGTACTGTTAGGATAATTTTGCAATAAATTGTGGATAATGCTTTTGCCTTATAGCATTAAAATAGAAATATTCAAGCTGCAGAACTGTCTGTGAACAAAGCAGACCTGGTTTCATTTACAATGAACACGTTTAGAGTATTTGGCTGTTATACATTTCCACGTGATAAGCCTACTTTGTTGAGCTATCATTTGTGACCTGGTCACTTCTGAAAAAGAGCTATATGTAGCTCAGTCTGCTTTACGTGGTTAAATATATATTTTAGAATTATAATTACAGCAGGATTGTTTGATGAAATTACAACTACATCTTCATTGCAATCCATTAAAATGACGCGTAAAAAATTTAACCCAGGTCTGGAAAATATATTTTTTTTACCTGAAAAGCTTGAATGGCTTGACACTTTTGGCCTGATATTAACAAAAAAGTACTTTAACACGTGGGAGGAAAACCGAGTATGCATAGGAAGCTCACTTTTGCACCAGGGTAACACTCAGATGGTGCATATATATGTAACCTACTTGCTCTACTGTCGCCTCTGCATTATTTTGCTGCAATGACAGTTGATATCTCACTTGGCAGCACAGACTTTTCCTGAGCCCAAGTTCGTGCCGCTGGATCGAAGTTGACAATGCCAAAGTCGGCAAAATAAAAAAAAATGTTAAGACCTCAGTTGAGAATATGTCTGTTGAGCTGAGTCATTGTTAATATCACTTCGTTGAGGCATGCATTTTGCAGTGTGTTCAAGCTGTTTTGTGTCAGTGTAAGGTTATGTAGTCAGATGGGATTATGAGGGACTACGTAAACCACTCTGAAATGATGTAGAGGTCAACTTACATGTTAAAATGTAAAGTGTTGAGACAGGAGTCACGTCTGTGGAAGTTAAAGGGCTGGACTTTAGCAAAGAAATTAGAAAATAACCTGACATTTGAATACAGGTACATAGGAATGAAGCTTGGAATTTCACACATGGTAGGGTAAGCAACTGGGAAGTTTGAGTTATATTTTGGCAAGAAAGTGCTATAGGTTTTATCGGGAAGGAAGAGGGGTTTGCGATGGCTGAGGTGCATGTGCAAAATAGAGGACAGGTTACCAGGACTAGTGGTACATGGAGAGAGATGCATAAAACCAGCCAGTGGGACACGGGATCTTAGAGCTTAAAAAGTGACCATGCAATCACTCGAGCATTTCCTAGAACAGTTAACTACAAGGTATGGTGGCATCTCTGGAATTAGCTGGGCTGACCTATTGACCTTTTATTATTATTACGCTTGTTTATCCAGGAAGACATCACTGATTCCCATTACTCTTTATGGAGGGTCTTGCCAAGTTTTGGCAGTTGAGTGTGATGATTGCTCTGTATATTTCAGTTGACTAATTTCCGGCAAAATTGATAATTTTGGCAAATGTGGACAATGACGCCGACACACAACGATTTACTATTGCGATCGACGTTACGGGGATCTTGAACGTCCACCGTGCAGCAGATGGCGCTTATTTTTACGGTTCTTTCACATGGAGTATTAATCGGGGCGGCCCCTGGATTCGAACCATGAACCCCTGCAAGAGGCAGAAAATGCACGACCGCTTGGCCATGTCACCGCCCGAGTGGTTGCACGTGCATGAGTAGGTCGGGCTGTGCATGATGAGCACGGGGACAGTTGTCTGGTATACGGTCGTAACACACGGTGCGCTCCTTTTGCGTCTCACATGTCACAGTCCAAGCACATGGACGTGTTGAGGTGGTCGGTTTAATGTCAGCAGAGTTTCAGAGCTCACTGAAATTATTGTTGGACCAAGTCCAAACTTTTTATATGGCAACAGAGTTTGGAATTTTCCGTGAAGTATAATCTGTAACGTAATGCCCGTTGGAGCACTTGGGAGTGCTTAAGGACTTGTGCTGACATTTTGTTCGGATATTGGACATGAAATGTGGCATTTTGGTAAAAAAAACATGCGTCGAATTATCCATAATTCCATTAGCTCCAATCTTGGCTTGAGTGTCAAATGCGAATAAAACTGTATTATAAATGTTAGTTTTATTGTGTTTTAATCATGTACATCCTGGCCATGTTTGTGTGAGTGGAAGTATGTGTGTGTGTAAATTTGGCATGCACCTGTATGTACTACAAATTATGTAGTCCTTTTATCGCAAGGTTTTTTGACAGTTGTATTGGGCAATTGTTGCGCAGGGGTTCATGTACTTGTGCTATAAATATATAGTGGCCTGAGTTTTATTCCCAGTCACAGCTATAATATCAGTGGTGAGTGATATCTCAACCAATCCTGTATCCCTCTGTTCACCAACCTGCACTCAGCGTATGGTGAAGTATGGTAAAAAAAAATCCATGATCGACATGGCATGAGGAGGTTTTCATCTGGCAGTGGATTAACAAAAACCTGTAAATGATAAAATAATACATAAATGACGGCTATAGGTGACAAAAGCCTGCAAACTTTTGCTTTGTAGGCAAGGTGAGTGGATTGTTCACATCTCATCTTGTGCAAAATGTCCAACTTGGGAATTGTTAATCCAGCTATTTCCCATTACACCATGAAGCTGGGAATTTGCATAAATAAATTTGTGCAGTAGATATAAGATGGGTGGTTCGCAGAACAGCATTTTTTCTCATAATGAGCATGTCACATTCACAGGCGTGTGCTTTGTGTCGGTGGGAATTTCACACAGAATGAATGAAAATGGTCTTCCTTTGTATGTGTGTTGTAGATATTCTACAACACACATGAACAATATTCATGAAGAAATGTGCCATCTATCCTAATCCAGGACCCTCCTGAAAAACGCTCTTTAGACTCAATTATATTTTCCGGCCAAAAGGATATTATTGTGGGCTTGTCTACTAAACGATGATCTTATGACCTGACCAGGTACTGTTACTATAAATGGAATTGTATAATTGGTAATCCCTTAGTATCTAATCGTTTAATGCATCGTAAAGTGCATTATTGGGAATAAGGCATCTTAGCCTGTAGTGCTGAGCCATGCTTAATGCAGTGCCTCATGCTGCGCTGAGGTATTGGCTTTGTAAGTTTTTTGACCCGTCTGTGCACCTCTGCATAATGAGCCCATGCAGCACAGCAGTGGGCCCCAGTTAGACTTCGGCTGAGTGGCATTATTTATACGAGGAAAAATAAAGTTCCGACTTGGCCCCGATAAAGCTTTAATTCTGTGCCAACTAGCTATAAAGTAAAATAAATGTGTAGTTAAAAATTCATAGCGACATAATGAATGGAGACATTTCATTATCCCCTCTGTTTAATTTTTTTTTAAATCTACCTGGTATTGCATGGTGTATCCTTTGCACTTATTAACCAAAGGTGCTTGTGATGGCTTAAATTTTTTTGTATTGAAATTTTTTTCAATGTCTTAATTTGTATGAAATGACTTTGAACATTTGACCCTTGTGCACACTGTGTGGCGTCTCTGTTATGTTAGGTGCAGTATGGGATTTTCCCTGACCCCTATGGGTTCAACCTCCTCCTGGACACATACATCAAGGCAGACGATTTCAAAGGTAATGAAAGCCTCTGACAGATCAGAAGTGTTTATCACACAGTGCTGTGGCACATTCACATTTTAAAGAAGTTAGTTAACAAAACAACATCTGGTCTAACAAGAGTTGTGTTACTTGTGCTGTGTAATTTGGCTGATCAAGGTAAACTTCCTAATTTTGTCATGTGATCTTGTACAGAATTGGGTTTGTTATTGTAACCCAGTCTGGATGTTTCTAATTAAGCTGAGATCATTTAAAATGTCCAATGAAGAAGGGCCATTTCCTGAAACGTCACCTGTAAGGCAGTGTTATTGATGAAGGTGTTGAGTGTGCAAGCACAATACAAATGTATTATCACCAAATAATAAAATAGCACAGTGCCTTACATAGATATTATCAGTGAGGAGACAAATGGAATGTGTGGGGCTGGCCTCACCCTCTTCTTTCCCCACCGCTCTAAAGAAGTTTTATTTAACAGTTTGCACCACCGTCTATCCAGTCTTTAAAGCAGACTTGTCTTTCTGCGTTCATATATATGAGGGTGGTGTCCTTATTTGAAATAGGGAGCATGGTAGCAACCCCTGAACGTCATTTGATTAGGCTAACATTCACGTGTATGCACAGTTCAGTAACAAGAAACAATTCCAACCATCAAATAAGGAACACACCCTTGATGTGTGTGTGTGTATATATGTGCATTCGAGTCCCAGTCAGTCAACCCATGGTACCTGGGTCTATCCCGTGGCCTCCTGCCAGCGGATGTTCGACACTTCACGTGGCCTTAAAGTGCACATAGCCTGGCATAAGCGCCGTGGTGACGTCACCGCCACTTAGTGGCGAATGGTGGATATTGTGTGTCTGGAGGGGCTGGATCTCCTCTTTGCCAACAGTGGGGAACACAGGTGGTGCGTCTGTCGGTCATCTTAGTCATTTAACCTAACACACCTGGGTCTGTCCTGTGACCTTCCAGTGAGTATTTGATATGGCTTCAAAGTGCACTTAGCTTGGCACAAGTGCTGTGGTGATGTCACCATCACTTGTAATTTTTATTATGCTTGTTTTCCCAACAAAGCCTGAGTCTCAAGACTTTTTCAGGCCAGGAGGGTCCTGCCAACTTATTTGAGTAGACCGTGACGTTCCTAAGTGTAATCCGAATTGAGTAATTTTCAGGTAATTTTTCAGCACCTAAATGTTTGGCCTATACCAGTTCCAATTTGTGTTTTTTTTATATATATATCTATGAAAGGAAACTGGAGAATCCACACAAGAGCAGGCAGAAAGCATACAAACTCTGCGCAGTAAAGCGCCCAAGTCGGGAATCAAACCTGGGCCCTCCTTGGTGTGAGGCCGCAAGTGTTACCAGTGTGCCACTCTGCTGCCCAGTGTTAGCGAATGACGGCCGTTGTTGATGTCATTGACCCGGACGGCCGGGTGCAGGCGCCGCTCAGGTGGCCGTGGAGGTGATGCTGCAGGAGGCTTTTGACTGGACGTCCACACAGCTGCTGGCATTGCACGCCCTGCACGGCTTCTTGAGTGGTCAGCCCGACGTGTCGGTATGCCCGCAGTGCCGCCCCGTCCGTCCTCACCCCCGGCAGCCAAGCTGGCAATCAAGCGCACGTGAACCACGTCCCCCCCCACATGCAGACCTCAAACTGCGATGCTTGTAGCTGCAGCGGACGTCATATGTCGTGCACGAGGCGGCATTTTGGAGAATTGATAGTTGAAACGAGGAAAAAATATGCGTTTGCACGGCTCGTGTATCACATTCCCAACAGCCATTCATCCTGGAGATGATTTAATTAGCGGTAATGATATTAAGCCGCACTACGAGATGGCTTTCACCTCGTTTTGGGCAACCCTTTGATCAATGCAGCTGCTTTTCTAAAGGATGGCACCACAATTTAATACTACACTTAAGTTCATATTGGATCATCATTAGGAGAGTTTTCATGCTCCCCCACACGTTACAAACAGATGGGCATAGCTAATTCATTAATGCTTTAACCTTCCTTAGAAAGGGGCAAAAATACACTTTAATCACAGATCTCCTTTGCGAAGTAGATTAGCACGGTTGACTACGTACGGTGCGAAAGAAGTTCAGCACACATGCATGTGGTGCTTCATTATACATGCAAAAAGTGCATAGGTCATCTTCCCAGTGAGCAGTGTGCCTCCTAAGTGCCCTGCTGGGTGCATGCATGTGTGTCCTGCTCTCGGTGTCTGCTTGCTGCCGGGACAGTGGCAAGAGGACCGGAACATCGGTGCAGCCCTGCTCCTGGCCGGGCAGGCTCAGAACACCACGGCCGGATACAGCTCCCAGCTCATGGGCTCCGCCAAAATCGGTACCCGGCACAGCCCCCCCCCCCCCCCCCCCCCCATTTCTAGAGGGCGGCATCCCCTTGTACTCGTGCTTGTTTTTGTTTTGGCTTGGTTAAGTGGGGCAGTGGCCATGTCCGAGCACTTAACCAGCACTGCTGATGTGCAGGTGGTGTGGTGGGGTTTGTGTTTTTTTTTAGTTTAGGCAGCTAACCATACTTAACATCATTGTTCTCAGGTGTCATAAATTCATGGTCTCAGCCCCATCACTTATAAGTGACCAGTAAAACACCCGTCTTACAAATGTATTATTACATGCTGTTCAGCCTCATCCCAGCACCGAAGACTAAATTAGTACATAGCCCACTGAGAAACCCAGTCTGATCATGTACTACACATAAACAAAACAAAATCCCAATTATATTTTTTTATTGTGCTTTTAGCATCACAACACGGGATGCAGTGTGCATTCGTAGCTGTCACCACATGTTAGAGAACAGCCCAAGGAAGGTGATATCAAAGAACTACTTTCAAGATCCTTTCAAGGGGCGTCCTTGTCTGTACGAGGCGCGCTGCACTTTGTCAAGCTAGCTACTGTATTGATATTTATCGCATGTAGGTCAACACAAAATTCCAGCGAAAACCCAACTTTAATTTGAAGTTTGTATTTTGTTGTGAAGTTATTGGTGACCAGGCTGAGACTACTAATTAAACTTCAGAACCTGGTTTAATCATGGATGGTTGCCCAAATTCGATCCTGGAATCTTGACAATGCCGACTCAGTCCTTTTCACTTCCAAGCCATCCATCCATCTCACAAGTGCACATTTTTCATTACGTGTCAACCGTCTCTATACCGCACCAAAGGCATTGTTTTCATTTCACAGTGCAGTTGGAACTTTTCTGCCATACAACGCCACAAGACAATAATCGCCATTGATGATAATTGTCATAATTGTAGAGAACGCAACATTACAGGGAAGATAGAGCCACTTGGAAAGCATTCTGGCAACGTGTTATTAATATATTTTTTATTAAATAAAAAAATGGTTACGAATTATATTTGAATACAAAATGTGCACCGGAATATTTTTAAAATATTTCCAAGAAAATGATAAAAAAAATATGACCTACATTTGTCTTTTTCCAGATCACCTCAAGTGTTCACAATCGTGTATTTCTCTCCCACACCAGGGACATTACAATGCAAGTAAAGCTGTCGGGATGGAAGCCATACATCATCTTACTTCATGTTTGTAGCCCCAGCATACAGAGAGGGCCCACTGGTGAAAATTGGCAGTGTTTTCAACATAAATTCGTTATAGACCATTGATTCTGCCCTTTCTTGAAATCCTCCAGTGACATCGGTGGCTATCCTAGCTCACTTTGTCAAGGTTTATCACTGTCGGCTGTTGTCGTCTGGTGCTGTGCTACTGGCCGGCAGGCAAGGTGGAGCTGATGAAGGGACTGCGGGCCGTGTTTACCCGCATGCCGCTCATCTGGACCCCGGGATATCTGGACAGGGGCATCGACATCATGGACAAAGTTCTGCAGAGCCCCGGTGCTGTGCAGCTGACGACGGACTCGGTGCGTACAAAGTTTGAATAAATAATTGACAATGTAGGATGAGAAATAAAGTTCGAGTGAGGGATAATAGTCATTTACATTTATACGTAAGGCGCCTTGTAAGAATAAGGATCAGGCAAGGCCGAGAGAGAAGGAGAGCTGAATAGAATGAACTGACTGAAGAAGATGTGTTTTACAACGCTAGGGAATTACACAACCGAAGCGCAGACACAGAAAATGCCCGCTCACCCCTGGAACAGATAGAGTTTGTATGCCTGGCCGCTCTAGAGATCCATACAATCATAGGTTATAGTCTTTGGGTCTTTTGGTAAAGTCACGTAGGTAGGTTCAAAGTTAACGACCGCTTGCGTCCTCATTTTTTCGTTATTTTTTGTTATTTTCTTTGAACCTATCTACGTGACTTTACCGAAAGACCCAAATAATATGAATTCCTGCAGTCACTAAAGCTTTAAGTGAAGATTTAATCATAGCTCAGGGTCAACGTGTGCAGGTGACTCTCATCATCCAGTGCCATTAATAATTAAATCAGTCCATAGAGCAGAGTTTGATATCCAAGCAGCTGTTCTGCCTCACTTAGCGCAGGCATTGCAAACCCCCCTTTTAATGAATGTTGAATTAGTAGGGCAGCTCGTTTGTCCATGCGTCACCCGTATCTGTAAGCCCACTTGGGACACTGAGCTAAGGAAGCAGTGCAAACTTTGAATCAATGGTGAAAGCAAAGCACTACTCACGCCTAACTTTGTAATAATTCATCATTACCCCGGCATCATGCATGCATGGCAGTGGTTTATAGTGCTCTATTTTATGGGGGTGTGCCAGTGGGTGTTTTGTTTTTAAAGGCATCGCTGGCAAGCGAATGTCAAGTTATCCAAGTCATACATGAGAGTGCATCATCTTGCTTGTTTTCATCTTCACTAAGCAGTATTGCACATGCCTAGGAGGCTTCAACACATTACATTTGGGTTGAGTAGGAGCCATAGTTAAAGGGTTATATTTGATTCAGATGTATAAAAAAACCCTTTATTTTACACAATTGTGTATAACCACTCCTATCATATACTGATCCCATTTACCACACATAGAACAATGAATGGTAATTTGCAGCAGGCCACTAATACAGACCAGCCTTCAGATGAGAATCGTGTAATATTGGATTAACTTCCCTGGTTCCAGATGTCTCATGTTGGGTAGTTTTTTGGCATTGTAATGAATGCGGCGTGTAAAGTGGTAGTGCATTGGTGAGCGCGCTTCGTTATGAACCTCATGACCTGCGTTTGATTCCCTGCCACAGCTAATATATCATTGGCGAGTGATATCAGAACCACCGCTGGGTTCCCCTCCCTTCACCAACCCCCACTGACTAGCATGGTGAAGTATCGTCAAAAACTCCCTTGACCAACACAGCATTAGGGGGTGGGGGGGGAGGCGGTGGTGCTTTATCTAGTATTGGATTGACAAACTATGCACATGACATTCCTCGAAGACACCGGTAGAACCATCAACCGCATCAGAACATCAACAGGCCAATGCGCACATCTTCATGAATGGAAAGTTAAAGACAAGCCACAGTAGAGCGATTGTGGCCAAGCATCATCCCATACTATGGAACATCACCGTAAATTAAACCACAGTAGTCTGCTCATTCAACAGAGGAAGAATGGCAAAACTTCATGAACTCTCTCCTGAAGGCCCTTCCCTTGCCTGGCAGACTTCGACAATGGCATTTAGCTCCTGAACATACTGTATTGCTGCCATTTTCAAGAATGGAATTGAACAGTGAAACTCGGTGTTCGACAGAGAGAACGTATACTTAAATCGTATCGCGGCCCACAATCGTAACACGAAATCGCAAAGGGGGGGTGGGGGTGAATAATTTCGGCCGGGCGGAATGGCCACGTGCTGATAACTAAAATGCAAAATATTCAGGTGCACAACCTGGTTGTTGCATTCCCTCTGCGAGCGCTGGCGGCTTTGTATTTGTGGCACAGCCCAGGTGCACGCAGGTGTCGGGTGTGCATGGAGGGTCAATGTGGGGAGCGGCGGTGCAGCGGTTAGCGCGTTGCGTTACGAACCTGGCGAACCGCGTTCAATTTTCCGCTCACGGCCACCAGCACCAGTGACGATTATCTGAACTGGTCTTGGGTCTCCCCTGGGTCGACTCGGCGTCAAATGAGTACCTGATGCGGTGTGTAAACATCGCCACTAGGGAGGCATGGTGCTGGACATCCACCCCCTCGTGTGCCACAGTGTCGGCCTTCATGGGTGCTCTCTAACAGCACTTGCCCAAAAAGTTTGTTAAGGCTATAACGGGGAATTTTTGTCTTTTGGAGGGTCACTGAGCTCAACACTGGCAAACTCAGTCACTGTCCGATTAGCACAGTTGGCTATGTACGGTGCGACAGAAGTTCAACATACATGTATGCAACACGAGTCACCCGCTTGCTCTCCCATCAGGTGGAGGCCATGGCAGCGGTGCTAGAGGAGCTTGAGAAGCTCACGGAGGAGGGGGCAGACGCCGCACAGGAAGAGGATGCCGACGACAAGGAGGGGGGGAGAGGTGACGTGCAGGTTCCACAGCCGGCGCAGCTAGAAGCGGAGGACGCGAGGGAAGCGGAGGAAAGGCGCAGGGCGGTGCTCCCCGCCCTGCGCCAGCGATTCCAGGTACAGACCCCTGGTCCGCCACGCTCCCACGCTCGCGTTTGTGTTCTAGCAGTGTCTGCGTGTAGCAGAGATGTAACGATTAATTTCAGTGGCATCGATATGTGAGTGTAAGAGTCGAAGTTTTTTTTATTCGTGTACTTTGTTTCTAGCTCCTGCACATGAACTTATTTTATTGTTCCATCTCCACATCCTGTCGGGTTCGTTAACAATCTGTGTCTGCCGATGCGTTGTTGGGCTCGACTCCCGGCCATCATCCCTTCTAGCGACGTGTCCTGCCCGAGCCCAATGACTTTTCTCAACAGTCCATATGATATCTCAAATTTGCATTTGTTCTTTAATTGGGAGGCTTTCACCCAGCGACCGTTAGGTCATGGCAGATGATGATTTGTTGTGAGTAATGGGTTCGCCTCCTGCAGCCGCTGGTGGCTGCTGCGTTCACCACGATGCTCGGAAGGGTATTCAATCCTCGAATCGAATCATTACAGATTAGCGACAAGTTATCGTTGCACCTCTGTTGTGCATACATACACGAGCATACATGTGTACGTAAATGCAGTTACACACGTTCGTACAACACAGGGTTTCACACGTAGATCATTTTCAGTACGAATCGTATTCCTGCACGAGTTATGCACAGCAGCAGATGTGGAACACAATTCCAGCGTTGACTTCAGTGAGCGATGTTTTATTGTCTATTTTATTATTTGTTTATATATTTCAACGGCAACATTACTGTCCGCTTATACAAGCACTGTATATATGTGCTTCATCAGAGCTAGCATAACATGACCCGGTGGTAACGGCAAAACAAAATGTGCCGTTTGTTTAACATTTCAAAGCGATTTACGATTAATGAGAACGCCGCTTACGATGCCGGCTCGGTTTATGATGGCCGGTAGTCCACCGCATAATTCCCGTGCTCGGAAAGCGCTGGCGGCCAGCAGAGCCCCCGCTAATTGAGAGCAGACCTGGGAGATGATTGATGGGTCTGTGGCGCTGCCCCTGAAGGAGGAGTGCCTGCACGGCCGAGCCACTCGAGGTTCGCGTGCGCCGTTCTGAGTCCGCAAAGCCTCACCGAGCACCGCATCTCCAAGCTGAGCACGGTGGCGCTCACCATCACTTAAACCGTCGTGGGCTTTTCTGCGCAGTTTCACAGCGAACTGGCTCGGTGGCCTAAATTGAGTGTAAGGGAGAGATTGTGCTCGTGCAGAAGTATTTGCACGCAGTCACGTGATTGTAACTCTCCGATATTTTTTACGGTTGTACCGTATGTTTGTTCGGAATTCCGTCTACCGCTCCGCTCCACATAACGGGCGCTTCTTTACCAAGTGACTCCCCCTGGCACGTGGAGGGAAACGTCGGGTGTGACGCCGGACGACGCGCGGTGCTAGCCCGAAAACGCATCGGAGCGCTATGCAGCACAAACTGCGAAACCCCATGCAGTCGCACAATTGCGTATAATTTTATACATCTCGAGTAGTTTTTGGGGGTTTTTTTTTTCTCCCTCCTGCCCGGTAATCCTTAACGTGCAAGATTATCCCACTGCCAGCTCCCAGAGGAGGTGTGGGCGGTGCCGGGTTTCGTTTCACTCGCGCCATCTGCTCTCGTGAGCAGTTGGTTCCCTTGAAATTCTCCTTCCCCGGTGCAATCTTAGAAATGTGCGCGGGAAACGGGGAGCCCCTTGCCCGGAATATTGGCCGCCGCGTACAGTTGAAATTTAAATTCTCAAATAATTTCTGTCTGCCTTTGAAGTGGCTCTGACAGCTGCAATGCAAACGGGAAAGCGGGCTCCGTGTGATAAATGTTCGGAGCTAATTAAATCGACCAAAACAAACTTCCGCACGGTCGCGGAGGGGCATTTTTGGCACGCGGTTCTAATCATTGATATCTTTTGCCGCTGTAATTATCACCAGCGCTCGCACTGTCCGGGCTATTTTTTTCGGAATAAAGGGCAAAGTGTTGTTTTTGTTTTTCTCTACGACTGGATGTGCGCATCGGGAGAGCGTCGCCACGTGCGATAGGGGCACTTTGCGTCAGCCGGGCAGGCATGCGGTGAACCCACAGATGGCACTGGACTGAGGCAGTCACATCTGTGCCTCTGCCGAAAGATGGGAGCATCAGGACAGGCCATTAGTCCTCCTGGGGGACTAATTTGAGGCGAAATCTTATAGCTATTGCTTATCGATCATCTTTGCTGAGCAGTGGGACACATCTGCTGTCGCAGCGCTTTCAATCTTGGCACTTATAATTGGAGATGTAAGAGGTACGTTGCTTATGATTTTCCCCTCGCTGAAGCAAGCTTGCCTGCCATTGTATTTTTGGTTTGGTAAGCATTCTGACCAGCACAAGTAACAGCTGCTTCCAGTTTCTCCTATTTTTTAATTATGTCGAAGAAGATAATGTAATTTCACACAGAGCCTTGTGGCTGCCTAACAAAATAACCATTTCTTATAGTGACACCAAAAACACACTGTCTGGTGTTTTTTGTAACAATAAATCCAGATATCTCACTGATGAGATTAAATCAGAAGCAGGCTGCACTGCCCCCACTTACTAATTACATGTTTCTTGTTTCTATAAAGCCATTCCAGGGTTGTTAACACATCGGCAACTGTGCTGCTCTCTTGCTGAATCTGCATTTCAAAAGTAAAAAGAGAAACCATAAATTACGGTGCAGTGCAGATAATTCTATACCGGGTAGCAGCGTATCACTCCAGGCCCAATTGCATCTCATCAGAGGTTTTTTTTTAATAGCATAATTCTTTGCAAAACTGGTGCACAACAGTGATATTTATTTGCCCGAATTCAAAAATTGGAGTTGGCAATCGGAGATCAGCAACCAAGGGGAAGAGCTAAATCCAGATGGTGGGGACATTGTCAGCGCGGATCGTTGCGGCCTGGTGTTGCCTGCGCAACGGCTGGGGCATGCCATGGAAGGAAGTAAAATGACGAGGTGTGGGGAGGTGTGGTGGCATCGATGGCCCATGTCGAGTTGACCCATGTGGTCCATCGCGCGCGCACTCTTGTGTGCGGTCGCGAGCAGGCGGCACGCGCGGAGTTGGAGCGTAGCGGGCGGCTGTCGTCTCGCTCTGCCAAGGACGAGGTGCTGGCTCAGGCGCAGGAGCTGCTGCCAGCACTCGAGCGGCAGGAGGTGGCAGAATTCGGAGAGCAGGTGAGTGCAGGCCCACGCGCTCTGGGCTACAATGGGATTCTAAAAAAACTCTTAGCATTATGAGACCTCCTTTGCCAGTAGCAAGATATAGTAATAGGTTTTTACCCTTTTATCTGGCACAGAAACTGACACCTTTATACAAGGGATCATGTTTGCAATAACCATAACACAAGCAGTCAAAATGCAAAGAAAAAAGACAACTCTGATAATGATATGCACTGTCCTTGAAATTGATTGGTCCACACCCGAGACGGCTTTTCTTAGAGCCCAGTCTCCACTGGCGTTGGACCAGAAGATGCCAAAAGGCATATTATCAGAGTTGTCTTTTTTGTTTGCATTTTGACTACTTGTGTTGTGGTTATTGTAAACATGATCCCTTGTATAAAGATGTCAGTTTTTGTGCCAGATAAAAGGTTGAAAACCTATTGCCAACCCACCACGGTACAGCTTTTCCATGTTTTCCAAGCTTCTCCATTCAAACAAAAACAACGTCGTTTACACGCTGCACTTGCCCCGTTGTTGGAACAATATTCCCCACGGGACGTAGAGAGAGCTTCTCAAGCGGCGCCCTCTCCATCACCTGGGACACACACGTACACACGAAATTAATTGGAATTTTTAATTACCTCTGCACGTCACATTTGACACGTGTACGCACGTAACATCTCGGTCTTAAATTGAGCTCTGCGTGTCACTGTTGTGGTAGCGCGACACGCGTACGCACACAAGATATGTTTTCGTTTGAACCGGCGATCTCTCGTGGAAGATATTTTGCTGTTAGGTGTATGGAGCTGACAACCACTCAATTTGTATAAGGACGTTGATAAATTGCTAAAACGTGGAACGACGTTACCCCGGTGGGCTGCGACCACTTGAGTTAAGAAAGCCCAGTTGAGTACACACCTATAGAAGACTCGGTGAAGCTCTGCTCATCCACGCCTCTCTTACGCACCCTTTCTGTTATCCACTCTCACAAATTCCTATTTATGTTTATCCGTGGATAAACGGGGGGCAAGCAGTGGTACTGTGGCTGGCGCACTGCACTTAACCCTCCCCGAGTTCAATTCGTAGCTGTGGCGGCCGTCATCTCAGAATTGCTCCTCACCTCTCGTTCACCAACCCGCGCTCGCCAGGGTGGCGAATTTTGGTGAAACAATCCATCCCGACTAAGTGGCGTGGCAAGGCCGTCCATCCCTGCTGTGCTTTGTCAAGGGGCTGTAAATTATTAATACGATCCATGAATGAGATCAGTCGCTCAGAAGTGTCAGCAATTGTTTCCTCTTAACTGAGCTTATCTCCAGATAAGAGCAGGCATCCCGAAGTAGTAGGGTAATTCTTCCTGTCATTTGTAAATGAGGAGTCACTGGAAATGTTACTACAGGAAGCTGTATATGTTATCCTAATATCCGGATATTAAAGCAGATAAGAGAATTCATCCGATGCAGTTATCTGGACAGGATGGCAAAGTGATCCTCTTATCCATAGGCAGCAGTGGCGAACGCATAGCACATGTTATTTGCACAGATGAACACGAATAATGGAATCTGTCAAAAGCACCTCACTCGGTCACCAGTGATTAGAGGAGCCAGACGTCGCCTCTCTTGGTCACCAGTGATTAGAGGAGCCAGACGTCGCCTCTCTTGGTCACCAGTGATTAGAGGAGCCAGACGTCGCCTCACTTGGTCACCAGTGATTAGAGGAGCCAGACGTTGCCTCTCTTGGTCACCAGTGATTAGAGGAGCCAGACGTCGCCTCACTCGGTCACCGGTGATTAGAGGAGCCAGACGTCGCCTCTCTTGGTCACCAGTGATTAGAGGAGCCAGACGTCGCCTCACTCGGTCACCAGTGATTAGAGGAGTCAGACGTCGCCTCTCTTGGTCACCGGTGATTAGAGGAGCCAGACGTCGCCTCTCTTGGTCACCAGTGATTAGAGGAGCCAGACGTCGCCTCACTCGATCACCAGTGATTAGAGGAGCCAGACGTTTCCTCTCTTGGTCACCAGTGATTAGAGGAGCCAGACGTCGCCTCACTCGATCACCAGTGATTAGAGGAGCCAGACGTCGCCTCTCTTGGTCACCAGTGACTAGAGGAGCCAGACGTCGCCTCTCTTGGTCACCAGTGATTAGAGGAGCCAGACGTCGCCTCACTCGGTCACCAGTGATTAGAGGAGCCAGACGTCGCCTCACTCGGTCACCAGTGATTAGAGGAGTCAGACGTCGCCTCTCTTGGTCACCAGTGATTAGAGGAGTCAGACGTCGCCTCACTCGGTCACCAGTGATTAGAGGAGTCAGACGTCGCCTCTCTTGGTCACCAGTGATTAGAGGAGTCAGACGTCGCCTCTCTTGGTCACCAGTGATTAGAGGAGCCAGACGTCGCCTCTCTTGGTCAACAGTGATTAGAGGAGCCAGACGTCGCCTCCCTCGATCACCAGTGATTAGAGGAGCCAGACGTCGCCTCTCTTGGTCACCAGTGATTAGAGGAGCCAGACGTCGCCTCTCTTGGTCACCAGTGATTAGAGGAGCCAGATGTCGCCTCACTCGGTCACCGGTGATTAGAGGAGCCAGACGTCGCCTCTCTTGGTCACCAGTGATTGGAGGAGTCAGACGTCGCCTCTCTTGGTCACCAGTGATTAGAGGAGTCAGACGTCGCCTCTCTTGGTCACCAGTGATTAGAGGAGCCAGACGTCGCCTCTCTTGGTCACCAGTGATTAGAGGAGTGAAATTAGTCCTTGGCCACCCCCATCTCCCCCCCCACTGAAAGCCATCGACATGCTGCACTGCACACGGGTGTCTAAATGTGATTTGGGCTCCATGCTGTGACGAGCAAGCGCGATGCGTCTTGTGTTGACTTTAGGCAACTATGTTGAGCCTTCAACAAAAGCGTGATCAATGTTGCTTTGCACATGGATATCGCTGCTAATCACTCGGACCACTGCTCCACCGGGTGTGGTCAGTGCTGGAAGATGTTTAGAAGCATAATACTCGTGAATTTCTTAAATGAACAGATACAAAATAAACATGTATTTAATAATTCACTGTAGCCTAACAAAGCCAGTTACCATGCAACATTTTAGTAAATGTGTTTTTAACGTTTTTCAATTATGTTTTATGGTATTTCGGAATTGAATTCTCGCATGTCAGAATTTCTGCTTTCCTGATATCTGTTCCCACTCGCAGTGTGATGTCACTCCCCCATTCACATCAGCGTGATATTTAAATGTATTAAAATTATTCATATCTCGTGTTATTGTAGCATCTCACCAGGCGGCATACCGTATCCTATTCATGGAAATCCTCATCGCCTGCCCCGACAAGTGCATTTTGCTCAAATATTTAAACCTTGATGTTTCGCCATCATTTGTTTTTTGGTGTTATCTTTATATACATGAGTCGGCACTGCAATTAGAGCGCTGGAATCACAACAGAAATGCTGGGAGTTAAAATCCCGGTCGTGCGTTGACTCGGTCCCACCATTTGTCCAGGGTCGTAATATCAGTAGAACTTTGCAATAAAATCAATGGCGTTTGTCCCATTGAGAGCCTAACTCCTCCACCACGGTAATGTAAGATTCCACCTGCTGGCTGGGAAGATACCAGTGACCAAACATCCCAGTTGTATGGGTTGAACGAGAAGATAAGCCGCCTCGATGATGCTTTGCCGACGTCCTCAGGTGGCCTTGTGGGAGAAGCAACGGGAGGAGCTGGCGCTGCTAGAGGCCACGGCGCAGGAGCGAGCCAGGGAGCGGCAGCTGCTGGAGGAGAAGCTGCAGAGCATTAAGTTTGTTCCACCAAAGCAGCAGGTGCTGTAGAGATGTGGCGGCCGCCGCCCACGCGCGACGCTCCCTGCCATTTCCAGGACCACGCGCTTCCTCTGTGCGCTCGAGTCGGAGCGGAGGAGCCGGGGTGAGACTTTGCCGAGGGCCATCGATTTCCGGGTGTTGACGTTGGACGTCGATAATCGCGTGTGCGTAAAAAAAAAAAAACGACAATGAAAAGTCGAATCGGTGAACGGATAAATTGTCTCCAATGTCAAAATCTTTCAACATTTTTCATGATGCACAAGAGAAAACAACGAGTTTGTGAAGGTGGAGGGTTGAAGATACAACATCCTTTTAAAATCGAGGGCTTTTGGCATTGGAAAATGAATAATTGTGCTGTATATACTTTGGCACAGCCATCACAGCGTCATTTGGCTTCCATCGGAGCTGTTGTGGTCTTGTGCGAGTGGTTGGTGAAACAGAATTCTGAGAAAATTCCTTAAATATGACGACATACGCACTCACGGATGTACAAGTATATAGCTACAATTAAAAGCAGTTGGCAACAGTCCAGTCCATATTTAACAATAAAGGGATTTATAAAAAAAAAGACTTCTTTGAATTGTGTGCTCTGTTTTGATTATGTGAACATTCACGATGTTCGAGTGATGTCTTCAATGACTGTTGGGGCACGGATTATGTGAAAAATGCCCTTTGAAGATCCAGACCATCTGTACCGACGAGCACGTCGGTACACGTTTGTCTTCCACCTCAAAATTGTGCAAATCCAGTTTGGGATTCGTGCATCGGGTCAGCTTGAGCTGGTGGCAGCAAAGCGGGGGGGGGGGGGCTGCAACAGGGGCAGCTGGGCTCCTCACGGTCGGGGGCCCTTGCGGATCTGGGTTGCAGCTGCTAGTGCTGTGCACCACCCTTCTTGCACTGTGGGGGCCACACGCCACCCGTGCCAGCAGCCCGATCTCATTCATTATAAATCTCTGTGCGATTAAATATTTACCTTTGTGTCGTACGCAAGTTAAAAGCTTCACGGTGAGAACGCCTCCTTCCTCACACGAGCATTGGACAAATATTCTTCCCCTTTGGCGGTCCTGGGCCAGTGGTGGAAATTCCTCATTTTTATGGCAGGGAACAGCTGCAGTTGGCTTCCAATCACTCAATGGTGTCTCGCCAAATTGTTCTTATATTATCAATCCCAGAGGGACGCTGAAACTTAGTTAACTCGGGCCAGGATTTACGATGTGATCTCACAATTAGGAGGCAACTGCTCTTCTAACAGAGCCTCAGTCCAGTCATCAATAAATAATGATTTTTAAGCTTGGAATGCGTGCGTCAGAGCACGTGAAATAATCTTTTTTTCCCTTTCATATATATTGTATGTAATGGGTTCACAGCACCCCTGTAGCCACTAAAAGAGTAATTGAATCAAATCGCAACCCTGGATCGAGACATTTCATTACAGCGCCGGGGTTGGTGAGGGGGGGGGCGGTGGAGGGAGTGTAAATCTTCGCACCTTTCTTATATTAGCATCGCTCGATATGTATGTTAGTCAATTACTGTCATGAAAAAATGATAAATGCACACTGTGTAGTGGTCTGGAAACCAAAGCAATGGATGTTTTTTGTTTCTATTTAAAAGCAGCAACATTAAGAATGTAAACCTGTAAAAAAAAGTTAAATAATGTAGCTTTTACTCTTCCATCCTCGGAGATACAGTAGATCATTCTGCCATTCATCATCATCGTCGTTGCATTTCAAATGTGTATGCTTGCTGTGGCTCTGGGTGCGACCTGCCGTTTCTTACAAACTTCCGACTGCGTTAGAAGTTTGGAGCGCGTGGCTGTGGAGGGAGGCCGCGTGGGAATTACATTTTGAAACCGCCGTCCCAGCAGAAGAATGGAAATTCAGTTATTCGTGTACAATTGCCACGTGCGGTCACTTCTCTGTCGAGATGCCAGAGAGTGTTGTGCAGTTATAAATAAACATCTTCCCCCAAAAAATACCATTTATGGCATCGCGTTTAAAAGACGATAAAAACACATTAAAACAGCAGGCATTGGCATTAAATCCATGGCACTCGGCAATGCATGCCAGTGCAGTGATTGCTATTGTCACGGCTGACCGGGAACTTGGTTGTCACTAAACCCCTGCCTAAAAGGATTACTGAAGTAAAAAAAAAGAAAGTATCTCAGTGCACACTTGAAAGCACTATGGCGAGGGGTTATCAATAAGGCTGGCGAGTAATCATCCCTTGACTGTTCAGAAGCAGCGTGCATGGCCCTGCACGTGCATGTTGAAAGGGAGTGGTGGCACAACGGTTGAGGCAGTACCCTGTGACCTTAACCTGCTTTTCATTTTTCGATTTAAAGCTTTCGTGACTACAGGGATTCATATTCTTGGTTCTTTCGGTAAAGTCACCGAAAGAACCAAGAATATGAAACCTGCTTTTCAATTCCAGACTCGGCTACGGATTAGGCAACTTTGAAACGGCGGGGGGGGGGGGGGGGGGGGGCACGTTATTCATTGCCCCAGGGTCCGTGCCAACCACGCTGCATCACCACCGGTTCAATTCCATTGACAAGTGAAGCCACCCCTTTGTGTTAATCTCTGCACGTGATCAGCAACCCGTTGTTGTGTCGTGACCAGCGGCCACGAGCCAAAGACGCTCTCGTGCAGTGTTCTCTCCACTGCAAGGCCCGCGAGCCACTGGCGGCCCCTGGTGGCCTCGTAAGTGCGGCCACCGCCACAAAACACAAAGTGAAAAGGGCCCTCGCAGCAGGCGGTGTGGCGGCCGTCACACCGGTGATGTTTTCTTGGCGAAAGTGCCACCCCCCCTCCCCCCACTCTGAAAATGAGTGAAGAACACTGCTCCAGTGTTTCACTCGTTGCAAGCTTTAATAGGTGCTTGCTAACAACACCTGCCTCTGCAGCCTTGACAGTGTTTCAAAGGCTGCTGTGCGAGTGAAGCGTTGTGCAAGGGTTACTGGCACCACGCGTGGTGCTTTGCTTCCCTCGTCCCATCACATTCCCAGTTGACCCTCGATACAGCAGGAGCGCGCGCACTTTATAACAACCAGGAGTGTAATTACAGACATTTCCAGACCAATTTAGCTCTTGCTGCTACTGCTGCAGCTGCTGCAAATGAGACTTCTTGCTGTGGAGGAGGATGGGGAGGGCGTGATGTGATGGTGGTGGTTGAAGGGGCGGGAGGGGGTTATACGTACCCAGACTCGATAATATGCCCCCCCCCCCCCCCGTTCAACCTTCCCCCTCACCTTCGATTAGCACGGTTGGCTACGTACGGTGCGAAAGAAGTTCAACATACACGCACCGTGTAATTTCAATGGGATCTCTCCAGCTCGGCAAGCTGGAAAACAATTTCGGCACTCGACACACCACATCCAGGATACCTCTCGCTGTGGCTGTTAGTCACGTGCCTACTGCAGTCTACAAGAGACCGAGACGTGTTTTCAGTGAGAAGACCCTGCAGGCTGTCTGTATACGTAAGAATAATGGGAGATGTGGTCGGTCCATTAAAAAAAAAACTGCTCCCACGGCCGAGAATACAAATATGCCCTGCTATTATAATTGTTGACAATATACGGTGCATTTGCATTCCAACACTGCACAGCACATAGCGTTTCTGCATTTGAAAATTAATACAGATGCCCTGTCCCTGGAATTTTATTTGACAGCTATAGATGAGCGAGCACAGAGGGCCGATGGCTCGCTGCACTTTTATAGCACGCAAAGCCACTCACTCGTCGTTGGTGACCGTGGGATTTCAAAGTCATCGTGGGCAACAGCCTCGTTAGTGTGAACACCGAAACCAAGATAAGTTAAAGCATACACATCCGCAGAGGCACCCCTTGACAAAGGAATTAGCATATAATTTAGCATTGAAATAGCTAAGTTAAAGCATACACATCCGCAGAGGCATCCCTTGACAAAGGAATTAGCATATAATTTAGCATTGAAATAGCTGAGTGATTAGCTTGTAACTGGTCACAGAAATAGCTATGTTAAAGTCAGAACATACACATTCACAGAGGCACCTAGTACAAATCAAACAGGAGAATTTAGCATTGAAATAACTAGGCGAATTTAGCATTGAAATAAGATAAGTTTTCCTGTTAACGAGCACCAGCTGAAAGCTCATCGCAGTCGCCAGATTAATTTATTAAAAAGCGTGAGTCGGTCCGTTCGAGCATATAATATTTGTTCAAGGGACCTACCGAATTAATTGGTGAGGCTTCCCCATGCCACATGGCAAGCTGGCAACCCTTCACCACCATCCGCCACGCCCACTATTACATAATCACGCCCACTATTACATAATCACGCCCACTATTACATAATCACGCCCACTCAGTCGCTAGCCTCACCCACGTACGGAGCAGCGCAGTTCGTAAGTCGGGCGTTCGTACGTACAGAGACTCCTCTACTTAGGAACATTCGACTTACGAACTTTCGGATATACGAACAAACCTGTCCGAATATCCAGTTGGCTGTTCGGACCGAGAGTCGTGAGTTCAACCGCTGCGCGATAGGTGACGGTGGTGACATCTACATCTGCAGAACGTGAAGAGCCAGTGGCATCTATCTACAGGAGATTATACAACTTTTAAAGCCAGTCCCCGTGTTTAGTGTACATGCTGTACAACATGTTTGGAATCGACAGGAGTAAAGTTGGACGACGGAACAACTGAACTTGTTTGTGAGTAGAGGAGTCTTTGTATATATCTGCCCCCCATATATGGAATAAAGTAGGCGTGGTCTCGCACTAAGGGGCGTTGTTTTGTCCATATATAGTCTTGTGGATCGTGAATAGAGGTTAAGTGCATCGATTCTGCTCAATCTATCCAGCAAGCACGCTCAAAGTCGATCGTAATTTGCGGATTTTAATAACCGTGTCGATACATTGCCAATAGATCCGTGGATCTAGCAATCCTATTGGTTAGTATAACGTAGTGTGACACGTCCCGTTTTTTCATTGGCTAATATCTGCATGATTCGGTGATTCCGTCACAGTCCGTACTTTATTGTATCACAGCGCCCCTCCCGATTCTGATACCGACCCACTCAGCCCCCCCTCCGCTCCTCAGGTAGCCCCACCCACTCCTCAGGTAGCCCCCCCGCCCCTCAGGTAGCCCCACCCACTCAGGTAGTCCCCCCCGCCCCTCAAGTAGCCCCACCCACTCCTCAGGTAGCCTCCCCCGCCCCTAAAATAGCCCCACCCACTCCTCAGGTAGCCCCACCCACTTCTCAGGTAGCCCCACCCACTCAGGTAGCCCCACCTACCCCTCAGGTAGCCCCTCCTTGCCCAATACTCAGGTAGCCCCACCCACTCCTCACGTAGCCCCACCCACTTCTCAGGTAGCCCCCCCCCCCTTCAGGTAGCCCCACCTACCCCTCAGGTAGCCCCTCCTTGCCCAATACTCAGGTAGCCCCACCCACTGCTCACAGCCCCCACCCACTATTCAGGTCGCCCTTCCAGACACGGGGACGTTTCGGAGCCTTAGTATCCATACAGATCATCGACCACATTGTAAACACCTGCTGTCTCCACTCCTGTAAAGGAAGAATGGACGAGATC